CACACACACACAGAGTGGAAGCGCTAACCCAAGCTAGATAACATGTGCATTGCCTCACAGACTTATTGTGTGCTGGGAGCATCTGACACAGTTTTAAGCAATTTCAGCTGCCCATGCCATGAACGTTATTAACTAAGTCGCCATGACACACACTACACCTCTAGACCTCTCCTCCCACGTGATTCTGTAGCTCTGCACTCTGACCTGCGGATCCCATGCCCTCCCCTGGTGACCACCATGCTGCTTCCCGAGTTCCTCACAGCCCACACCTGAGTGACTTCCCGCGTGGGTTCTCCTCTGTGCCTGGCTTGTCTCACTCCCACAGTGTCCGCAATGCCTTGGTTTGCTGCAAACGTCCGGATTTCACTCGTTCCATGGCCGAGTCTTATTCCACTGTGGGACGCCTTGCTTCGGGCCCCATTCGCCTCGGTTCATCGATGACAGCGATGTGAGTTGCACCGCAGGAACGCAGGTGCGCAGGTGTCTAAGGGTCTCCTCCCCGTTAGCTCCTCCCCTGTGCCCGACCTGCGCTAGGAGAAGGGAACAGTGGGGGTCTGGGCCCCAGGATCCCCTCTCTGTCCCACACTGTTGTGGACAGGTGAGCCAAGGAGCCGCCCACGCGCTCAGGGAGTTGGCACCGTCGAGAAGTAAACCAGGAAGCGGGCATGGTACTAAGGGTGCAAGGGGCAGGTGTGGCTGAAGGAGGAGCTGCCGGGTAGAGAGAAGGTTAATGGTGGACTGACCGGAATTGCCAGACGCCCTCTACCGGAAACCAGGGAGCCTCGGGCATGCATCCGGAGACCCTAGTCCCCTCCTCCGGAGACCTGCAGAGTTCAAACGAGCTCTTCCTGGAAACCCGGGAATCTCGGGTGCTCTCTGGAGACCGCACACACCAACTTCCGGAAACTGAGAGACCCCGCGCTTCTCTTCCGGAAACTCGGGAAGTTAGAAGCACTCTTCCAGAAACCCCGCACACCCCCCTTCCGGAAACTCAGAGACCCTGCACTCTTCTTCTGGAAACCGCAGATGCGCTCTTCTGGAAAGCAGGGGTCCCAGACACCCCCTCAAGATACGTAGGTGGGGCCGCCCTGGGGGTAGAGCCGCAATAGATGCTGACCCGCCCTGGGGGTAGAGCTGCAGTGGAGGCTGGGCCGGAGCAGGTGTGTGGCGCTCCACTTCTCAGGCGTGAGTTGTGTTATGCCCAGATAAGTAGCTCCCCAGGAAGCCATCAGTGACCAGATCACACCGAAATGCAAAGGCAAGGTTTATTTTAAAAGTACAAGACATGGCAGGAATTCATCTGACCAGCCGACGCAGCGGAGGTCAGAGGAAGGCCCCGGCCTTTGTTTAGGAGCACTTTTAAAGGAAAAAACCACAGGGTTACATCAGCCGGGGCTTACAGCACGGGGCTGTTCTGGGTTTTTCTTATTCGAGGGGGGGGGTCTCCATTTGGCTTGGATTCAGGGAGTTACCTCATTTGGTAATCTCTACTGAGCTGCCTTTGGTCTGCTGAGCTGTCCTTGGTAAGCTTTGATATCCCCGGAATGCCTGAATGCCTGCTTTTACAAGGACTCGGGTCTGCTATGGGAAATAGAGGCTGCTTTTTATTTAATTTTCTGTAAATGGAGTCACTTTGGCTCTTCAGGTTGCCTGTAGACTTCCTTCCACGCGGAAAGTGCTGGGGAGGAAGGGTGAGGCTCCCTTGGGAACCAGGTGCCCCAGATCCGCAGCAGCAGCCACGCTCGTAGATCCTCTGGGTGCCTGCTGGGCTGTGCTGGGGACAGCTCTTTTCTCCCATCTTCTATGTAGTGACCCACCACCCAGTCCTGTCACACAGCTTCCCAGGGCGGGGCATCCTTGAATGTCTTTGTCCATGTTCCTCAAAACTGTCATCAAGGTCATCACCAACAAGGGAATCACAGGGCCTAAAGAGACAGAGAGAACCAGAGGCAGTGTGAGATCCTGGAGAAGATAAAGGATTAGCTTCCAACACAGGAAATCTAAATAAACCATGGACTAGTTGAGCTAAGGGTGCTGGGAAGAAATGTGCCATATTAACCTACAATGCTAACAGGGAGCTGGGTGAAGGGTCTATAGCAACTCCATGTGGTAACTTCTCATTTGTTCCCTAAAACCATTCTCGAAGTCTATTAAAAATCAGGTAAAATTCCCACATGAGGGCTGAAGACCCTGGCTGTCTCCTCACCCAGCACCACCAACTCTAGGGCAACACTGGGACTGCCCAGGCTGACGCTCCTTCTGTGGGCACCAGTAACAACCTGGGGTGTTGTATCCATGGGAGTCCTCCATATGTCTCACTGGTAACACCCTGCAGTGTTGTGTCCTGTGAATCCTCCCTCTGTCGGCACTGGTAACACCCTGCAGTGTTGTATCCTGTGAATCCTCCCTATGTCTCACTGGTAACACTCTACAGTGTTACATCCATGGGAGTCCTCCCTATGTCGACACTGGTAACACCCTGCAGTGTTGTATTCATGGGAGTCCTCACCCTGTCGGCACTGGTAACACCCTGCAGTGTTGTATCCATGGTAGTCCTGATGAATCAGCCTCCTTTTGCAACCCCAGTTCCTTCTCCACCACCTCGTGTGTGGCTTCCCAAGATCTCCAGTTGGTACAAGGAAGATACAGGGGTTTCCTGGCACGGGATCTTCACACTCCCACTCCAGGCAATCACAGAACCTAGTCCGGCAGATATGATAGGAATAGGAAAACCCCTTGGAAGAAAATACAGCCTAGAGTTTGGTGGACTAGCAGAGAGAAACCATTTGTTCCCATTTCGGGGAATGGGAGGGGCAGAAATTAATTGAGAGGCCAATCGTTATTCTCTCTTAAAATACTTATAATTTTGTTTGAAAGAGGAAGAGAAAGAGGGAGAGATCTGTTGTTTGCTGGTTCACCACCCAAATGCTGGTAATAGCCAGAGCTGCTCTAGGTTGTCAGGAGCCTGGAGCTGCAGCCAATCTCCCTCCTGGAGGCAGGAACCAAGCATTGAGCCACTGCCTGTCTCCTAGGTGTGCAGCAATGGAAGCCACCTCAGAGGTAGATCTGGACCTAACCCAGGCACTCTGCTGTGGGATTCAGGCATCCCAAGCAGTGACTTAACTGCTGTCCCAACTCCCACCCTATAATTCTGTTGTAAAAAAGTGTTAGGCCAGCGCCGCACCTCACTAGGCTAATCCTCCACCTGCGGCACCAGAACCCCGAGTTCTAGTCCTGTTTGGGGTGCCAGATTCTGTCCTGGTTGCTCCTCTTCCAGTCCAGCTCTCTGCTGAGGTCCAGGAAGGCATTGGAGGATGGCCCAAGTCCTCAGGCCCTGCACCCACATAGGAAACCAGGAGGAAGCACCTGGCTTCTGGCTTCAGATCGGCGCAGCCCGCCAGCCGTAGCAACCATTAATGAAGTGAACCAACGGAAGGAAGACCTTTCTTTCTGTCTCTCTCTCTCTCTCACTATCTAACTCTGCCTGTCAAAAAAATGTGTTGATGAAACCCAGTCATTTGTGGAGAAATGGGTGGGACCAGAGAACATGAAGTGAAAGACGCCTTCCCAGGAATCCAATGTAAGTTCTCTCTTCTATGCGGAAGTTGGAAAAGTTGATCTCGTAGCAGCACAGTAGGATGGTGATCAATAATGCATCAAAGGGTCTTGTGGGAGAGATGGAGGGAGGTTTGGTCCACAGGTCCCCAAGTGTAATCACATAGAAGGAATGGCTCTAGTCTGCACAGCACAAGGAGGCAACTGTCGCTCACATAACCTGTTGTGTTTGTGTGTTTGTGTGTGTGTGTGTTTGACAGGCAGAGTCATAGACAGTGAGAGAAACAGAGAGAAAGGTTTTCCTTCCTTTGGTTCACTCCCCTAATGGCCGCTACAGCCAGTGCTGAGCTGATTCAAAGCGAGGAGCTGGGTACTTCTTACCGGTCTCCCATGTGGGTGCCGGGACCCAAGCACTTGGATCAAAAACTGCTGCCACCCAGGCCACAGCAGAGAGTGGACTGGAAGAGGAACAACCTGGACTACTACCTGGCACCCCAACCGGGACTAGAATCCGGGGTGCCGGTGCCACTGGCGGAGGATTAGCCAAGTGAGCCACAGCGCCAGCCCTGTTGAGTGTTTTAATAAACAACTCGACAAGAGGAGCTGGGGGCCTCAAACACAAGACATGACGAGATGGGAACACCCTGGTGAGATCAGCACACTTTGGAATTCCACGCTGCACCTCCTAAATTATTATGTGTGTATTTAAAGGGAAAAATAGGTGGCAAAAATGTTTTTGGTAATTGTGTCTTCCTCCTTTGTCGAGCTGAAATTCACAGAGCACAGATTACAGACCTGACAGAAATTTAACTCACGGCTGTAGCTACCTCTCACATCCACTCTGTCGTGTACCCACCAGCACCTGTTCACAAACATCTTCATTAGCAGAGACAGAAACCTAGACCCACTCAGCAGGCACCTGCACGCTCCCTCCCCACACCTGAGTCCATGTTCTGCCCTCTGAATCTGCACCCCCGGGCACCTCTCAGAGCAGAATCCGACCATGGTGTCTGTGACACTGGCTGATTTCTGTATTGTCATATCTTCAGGGTTTCTCCACAATTATCCAGACCCTCCTTCTTTTCTAACAGGAGAGTAGTCAGCCGTGTCTACAAACACTGCCTGTTGTGGACCACTCACCTGTTGGGCTTATTCTGGTTGCTGGCATCTTTGGGCTCATGTGAATGAGGCTGCTATGAACCCGTGGATGCAAACACCTGCTTGGGTTCCTGCTTCAATCCCTGTGGTTATATGTGCAGGAGAGGAACTGTTGGATTGTTATGCAATTCTGAGTAACAAAGTTTTCCTTCTTTATTGTGCTGAAATTCAAATAACATAAAACCAGCCCTTTAAAGTGTATAGTTTGCTGACTTTTAGTACATTCACAATACGTACAACTTTAAATTTAAAAAAAAAATCATTTATTTGAGTTACAGAGCTAGATAGAGACCAAGACAGAGACAGAGAGAGAGAGAGAGAGAGAGAGAGAGAGAGAAAGTCTTCCATCTGCTGGTTCACTCCCCAAATGGCCACAAAGGCCTGAGCCAGGTCTATGCCATGAGCAGGATCGTCTTCCCCATCTCCCGTGTGGGTGCAGGGGACCAGGGACTTGGACCACCTTCTGCTGCTTTCCCAGGTGCATTAGCAGGGAGCTAGAGCAGAAGTGAAGCAGCTGGGACTCAAACCCACGCCCTTATGGGGTGTTGGCCCTGCAGGCTGGGGATTTAATGTGGCGTGTACAGTGCCGGCCCCACATGAACTCTTCTAGCTCCATTGTCATCCCTCCAATCACATGCCCCACACTGACTAAGCTGCTCCAGTCCCCCTTTGCCCTAAGTAACTGCTTGGCTTCCATGGAGTTTGGAGTTCTGCTTCCCTGCATATCACTACGCAGCAGGAACCCGAGGTGCACAGCGGGGCTGTGACGGAGGAGCCCCCGGCACCCGGAAGGCAGCTGGGGCGTCTCTTCCCAGCCCGCATCACAGACCTCACAGGGGCTCCTGGAGGGTGGCCGTATGACGGCTAGCGGCACCCCCACAGAAAGCATGCTTGTTTCAGAGCGGCCGCTAAGCAGTGCCCAGACACCGGCCCGTCAGACTCCTGGGCACCGGTTCCCATGTGACCCTTCTGAGCCCCCACACGCAAGGCGTCCCAAGCCCAGGGAAGGCCTCGGGGCCTGAGAGGCTGTGAGCGTCCCGTGTGGGATGGACCTCGCCCACCCTGAAATCCGATTTCGCTCGTTTATTCTGTTACTTGGCGCAAGCTCCGTGTTCTTGGCTGGAAACGCGGATTCTCACGCATGCGCACTGGGAACTGCATTCATCAGAAACAGAGCAAAAGGCTCCCTGAGGGCGGGGCAAGGCGGGAGGCCGGTGCGGGTCCACATGCGGCCTGCAGGTGGCGCTGTCCCACCGGAGAGCCAGGCGGGACAGGGCACAGCCACAGGGCAGAATTCCACAGCTGAATGGAGGAAGAGCCCCTGATGCCCCCAGACAGCTCCCAGCACCCACACCGTGGGGGACGGTTCCCCACTGTGCCCACAGAATCCCCCCGTCCCTGCCCCTTAGGGCGTGGCTTCTCTGACCCAGGGCTGTCCTCTCTCCAGGTCACCGCCGGCCTGCAGCCCGGGTCCTCTTGTGGCTGTACCAGGCCTCCGCCAGCAGAAGCCCGAGGCCCAACAGGACCAAGCCCACCACGCCCATGCGGATGAGGTTCTCCATGGTGTGGTCCTCGGGCGCTGGGGCTGGGGGTGTGCACGTAGAGGGTCACCTAGGCTGGCCAGACCCAGTAACACAGGACCCCACCTCCCCGCAGCTAGCCTGAGCCCTGGGTCCGGCCTGTAGCTCACTCACCAGCGGGGGAGCCTTGCTGGGGGTGCGAGGGGCTGCTGGGCTCCGGTCCTCCTGAGAACAGGGATGGGATGGTGAGGAGGAGGAGACCCCAGTCCTCCCCATGGACTCAGCACTGAGGACCCGGACGCTCAGGCTGAAGTCCTCTGCTATTCCAACTCCCTGGTGAACGACCCAAGGTCCCCTCCCCACCCAGCCTTCTCCTGGGGTCAGCGCTGCACTTACTGGAGGCTAGGGGACAGGGCTGGGGCCCTCACCTGACACCTCGAGCTGCAGGGGGTCCCTGGGCCATGACCACAGGTAGGGGTCGGTGCTGTGGGCGCTGTAGCACCTGTAGGTGCCCCCGTGGGCCGAGGTCACAGGAACCAGCATGAAGGTGGCCTGAGCAGCCGTGGCCGAGCCCGGGACATGCAGGCGCTGGGGAGGGTGCCTGAGCCCACTTTGTGCAGGAGAAAGGTGTCCATCGCCTCCTCAGAGCCACAGCGCAGGGCCACCATTGCTCCCCAGGGCACCGAGGGCCCCGGATGGGCCTGCAGGGAGGGTTTCCTGTACATTCCTGGGAGAGAGAACGGCGTGTGGACGGAGCATCCCGCAGCCGGCAGGGTGTGCAGGTGTTCACCGCTCCCCTGGGGTAAGCATTCCTGCAACTCCCACCCCACCCAGGCTCCATGGGCACCGGGCCCCTTACCTGTGACCTGGAACTCCAGGGGCTCACTGGGCAGTGACCACACATGGGGCTGGCTGGTGTGAGCGCAGTAGCACCTGTAGATGCCCCCCTGGGTGCTGTTGACAGGGCCCAGGAGGAAGGTGGCTTGCCACACCCCAGCCACATGGGAGAACCTGGCTTCCAGGCTGTGCAGGGGGCCGGCTCCGCCCTCCTTCAGCAGATGGACAGTGCAGGCATCGTCATACTCTGAGCGACAGGAGAGGGACACGTTCCCCCTGATGCCACCATGAGGCTTGGCTGGGCTGACAGGGAGGGCGCCTGGAACATTTCTTCAGGGGAGGGCAGAGGCATGTCGGGGGGGGGGTGCCGCCCCGTGCACCCACTTGGCTTCTTTCTGTGAGCTGGAGCCTCTCTAGGCAGGGGACACCCCTTACCTGTCAGCACCAGGGTCAGGGGGTCACTGGGCTGAGAGAGGCCGAGCGGGGTCCGATACACACACCAGTACTGCCCTGTGTGGTAGGAGCTCATGGACATGGTGATGGGGAAGTCAGCCTTGTGTCTTGAGTCCTGCTGAGCCCGCACTTCCAGGGCAGAGGGCTGCCCTCTTTATACACACGATACACCTCAGCCTGCAGAGACCCCTGGCACCAGAGGGTCACAGCGCTCCCCACGGCGACCAGGGGGCCTGGGTCGGCCCAGATGGAGGGCTTGGGGAGGGTCCCTGGAAGGGAATCAGAGCTGCAGACCCCAGGGTGCCGCCCCTCCCCCACCCCATTCCCCAGCTCCACTCCCAGCCCCTCCCAGCCATCACCATCAGCCCAGCCACCCTGGGCTCCTTAACCCTGAGCTGCCTGGGCCCCGGGTGCTGAGCCAGGTCAGGGGTGTACTCACCCACCTGTGCCCCATCCCCTGGTGCCCAGCACAGCCCTGGAAGAGAGGTCCCCGTGAGAGCTGCTCCCCACTCCCCACCCCTGCAGAGACGCCCAGGCCCGCCCTGGTCCTCTGAGCCCTGGGGTCCCAGCTAGGCCAGGGCGCTGTCCCTTCCCATACCTGTGAGGGTTCCCATTGTTCCTGTGTTCCTGGCTCACCCAGGCAGAGGAGGGCAGTGAGGGCTGGGGTCTGGGCCCCGCCACCCATGGTCCCCGTGGAGCAGAGCAGCTGTGAGGGGCGCAGGCCCAGAGCCCGGCTGGAGATGAGTGGGGAGACGTCACGGGTTCCTCATCTGTGGCCTCACAGGAAGGGAGCAGCCCCTCCCCGACCTCCTCCGCTGTCCCTCAGGACAGGGCCCAGGACACAGTGGGCTCTGGGGACAGCTAGGGCCAGGCCCCCGCCTCTGCTGCCCGCTGTGCTATGCATGCCCTGCCTCCCTCCCCCGCTCCAGCCCCACCCATGGTGTGCCCCTCGTGGGCCGTGCCCAGGAGCTGCCCGGTTAGGGTTCTGGTTCTCCCTGCACAGGCCGGGTGGCCGAGGCAGGCACTTCCCCTTCCCGAGCTGCTGAGTGCAGGTGTGGGGGCTGGATCCCGTGAGGTGGGTGACAGCAACAGGAGCAGATGAAGAAGGCAGACGCTGCCGAGGTGTGGCTGAGCTGCAGCCCAGCGGTGCCTGTGGCAGGTGCAGGAGGTCCCACAAAGGGGACAGGGACCCTGGGGTGAGGTCCTGCCTTATGCCGCCTGGCCTGGGTCCCAGTGAGAGGCTTGAGGAGGGGAGGGCACCTTGTGGGGCAGAGAACCCAAGCTCCCTCGGAAACTGAGAGCATGGGGGTGCCATAGCCCCAGGCCCTCCGGGGTCCCATGCCTCACACCCTGTGCTGGGATATTCTGATGGAAGGGGACTGGGAGCAGGGGACTGGGCCCGTGTGCAGATCCACACTCTGTGTGAGGCTCAGGGTCCCCAGCACCTGTGTCCTAAGTCCCTCACCTGATCTGAGCACCTGGGCTCTGTGCTCCTGGATGACATGGGGGTGCCGCTTCCTGAGTGACCTGAACAGGTGACGTTGTCCCCCAGCGTCTCTGTGGTGTGGATGCCCGAGACCTCCCCTCTCTGGGTGGCCGTGGCCACAGCACTCCGGTCTCAGGGTCCTGCAGTGTCCCTTCCAGATTCAGACGTGGGGACAGCACCGTTCTGGTAGGGACCCCTCCTCAGAAGTCCCTAGGAGTGCCCGCCAACCCCAGAGGTGAATCAGAAGCGGTCCTGGTCCCAGACAGAATGGAAGACCCCATCCTCAGCCATGTTTGGGGGTGGAGGGCAGAGGGCAGGCTCTCAGCTGCCTGCACTGGGGTGGGGGCCCCACGAGAGAATGCACAGCATCTCATCACAGCCTCGGGTGCAAAGGCACTGACAGGCATCTGTCCTTTCCTTAGCCCTGCGTCTGGTTGAGAGGAAGTCCCCCTCCCAGAACAGAAGCTGGCAAAGCGTGCACTCAGTGTCATTCACAGTAAAGCTGCAGAAATGGAACGACCCACACAGCTTCGCCTCAGGAGGAAGCTGGTACCCTGCAGCCTCCAGCCCCCCAGCCCCAGGGCTCTGTGGGCTCCCAGCCCTGGGTGTTTCTGGGAAGGGTGCTATGCAGGGCCCTTTGTGTGTGGCTGCACCTCCTGCCACATGCATCCTCACTTTACAGCTTCCTGGGGCTCTGCAGAGTCCCACAGAGCCAGGGACCCACCTCCCTGAGCCCCCATCCCCGGTGCACAACCGGCTCCTGTGCCCTTGCTGGCCGTGCTTGGACGGATGCCTGTGTGCACAGTCCCTGGATGGTTGTCAGAGCCTCCCCCTGGCCCTCGGTGGTAAGAACACTCCACTGAGCCTGCACTCGGCACACTGGTGAGCACTGTGCCTGACCCTGACCCTTGCCAGCATGTGGGGTCCATGGGAGCACCTGACTCCGTGCAGGGGATGGGCTGCTCCATGCTGTGGCGAGGCTGGGTCAGGTGCTTTGAGGAACTACGAGCCTCTTGCCACAGTGGCTGAACCGTGCACATTCCAGCCTGTGTCTCAGGGCTGCGATTTCCCCACACCCTGACCACACTCTGCCTGCTTTGTCTTCGAGAAGTGACCAGTGTGGTGGGTGTGGGGGGTGCCTCTCTGTGGCATTATTTTCAGTTCCCTGCCCTTGTGCTGAGTGAGCTGCACCCTTGCTTTTCCTGTTGTGTTTTCCAGATCTTTACACCATGTGTTCAGTTGTCTTTCTGTTCCCTTGATAGCTGTCCATGGTACACAGAGTTCTGCAGTTTTGGGGATGATCAATTCAGCCACTTTCTCCTTTGTTCCTTGTACTTTTGCCAACAGCCAAGATGCTGTGATGAAGTCTGAGGTCATATTTACCCAGGTATTTCCTTCTAGGAATGTTTAAAAATTTTTTTTCAGAGACTGATTTATTTGAGAGGGAGAGACACACAGAGGAGAGACAGCGACAGATTTCCCACCTGCTGGCTCACTCTCAGGCTGAAGCCAGAAGCCGGGAGCTTCTTCTGGGTCTCCCACGTGGGTGCAGGGACCCAAGCATTTGGGTCATATTCTACTGCTTTCCCAGGCACATTAGCAGGGAGCTGGATCTGAAGTGCAGCAGCCGAGATTCAAACTGGAGGCCATAATGATGCCGGTGCTGCAGGTGTTGGCTTTACTCCCTAAGCTACGCTGTGGTGGGGTGGAGACCCCAGCCCCTTAACTGGAAACTCTGGAGAAGCATCCAGACACACGCTTAATCCCACCTCACTGAACTGTGTGGGAAATGCAGACTTGCAGAGTAATCAGCCATCAGAGGAAGCCGGGCAGGCATCCGCACTCTTCCAACACCCTTCTCCCTCCTGCCCTGCAGTCCCACCTCCCTCACTCTGGGTGTCTGGCCCAGGAGCCCAGGCCCCGCACCCAATTCCCATCTAGGCCTCCTCTCAGCGTCCCCGTGACCTACCCAGCTCCTGCTCAGGTGTGGCTTCCTCACTGTCACCCCAGCTCCAGGGCGGCACTGGGCTCTGACCAGCCAGCAGCACTGAGGCAGACACAGCGATAGCGCCCCGCGTACACCTCAGCCATGAGAGGGTGGGGAACGTGGCCTTGTTTCCGGGCTCCAGGGGCATCGCTCTGTCCCAGGGCTCTGGGATTCCCACTCTATACAGACGGCACTCCTGGGCCTCCAGGGTCCCCCACACCACAGGGCCCCAGGCCTGCCCAGGGCGATCACAGAGCCTGGCTCAGCCTGGAGGCTGGGTCTGGGGAGGGTCCCTGGAAGGAAACCAGAGGCTGGGTCCCAAGACCACGTCCCCTGGCAGGCCAGGACCCTCCCAGACGCCCTCCTCACCAGACAGGGCTGCTGTCCCCACCCCAGCTGCCCGGGGTGGCCCTTGTCCCATGGTGCGGGGACCCGGCACAGTGGGGGCACGCTCACCTGCCTGCACTCGGGTCCTGGGGCCCCACAGCCCTGGAGGAGAGCTCCCCGTGAGAGGTTTGCCCCTGCCCCTGTGCCCGTCCTCTTCTCCCCGGGGCTCCTGAGCCTGGGGTCTCCAGCGAGCAGGGCCTGGCTGTGGGCGGGGTGGGGGCCTGGCTGTGGGTGGGCGGGGTCCCTCCCAGAGCAGGGTCTCCCCTCCCCGTCTTCCCGTCTCCCCAGGCAGAGCAGGACCAAGAGGGCAGGGGTCATGGCATCCTCTCCGCCTGCCCCGGCACAGCGCCCGCGGCACGGACACACACCGGGTGTGGACGCTCGGAGGCCGGGTCCTCCCAGCATCGCAGGGCTGTTCCGCCCGCAGCCCCACAGGAAGGGGCACCGCCCCCACCCCAGCCAGGCCCTCAGTCCCCAGGATGGGGGCACAGGCGCCCTGCAGGGATGGGGGCCCCGCCCCGCCCTGTCAGCCGGCTCCGCCCTCCTCTCCCAGGGCCAGGACCCAGCACCAAGGACACGGGGCCTCCAGGAGCCGCCCCTCAGGTGGGCTGATGCGCCCCGGGGTCGTCGTGCCCGCCCTCAGCCCCTCCTGTGGGGTCGCAGCCCGGCCACTTCCGGAGGACGCAGGTGGGCACAGACCCGCTCCCGCCCGGCCCGGAGGTCCCGGGGCCCGACCCAGGGCGGGGGAGGCCCGGACGCCCCCTCCGCCGCAGACGCCGCTCCCACGCCCCTCAGCCACAGCTTCCCCTGACCCGACCACCCCGCTGCGGGGCCCTGAGGCCTCCCAGGACCTGCGCCGCCCCCTCCCTGCCGCCTGCCCTGACTCCCGGGGGAGGCGCCCTCACTGCGTCCCCTCACACACCCCTCTGCCCTGAGCCTCAGCTTCCCCGTGTGGGCGGACACGGACTCACCTGAGGCGGCCTCGCGCACACGCACACCGACTCTGAACTGCGCATGCGCATCCTGCCGCACGTGCGCAGACGCCAACAGACACAGGACTGCGCACACACTTACACATGACTGCGCAGGCGCACACGGACATGCGGCACAGTCTTGCTCGTGTCGCGGTGCCCTCTACTGTGTTCCCACGCTCCTCTTCACACCCCTGCTGTGGACAGGGCCCTGGACAGCCAGCCGGGAGCCTCTGCCAAGGACACAGCGGGGCTGAGAGACACCTACCTGTGACCACGAGCTCCAGGGCACCACTGGGGGCCGCCACACCTGAGGGCTGCCATGTGGTGACCACAGAGATACGGGGGTTCTAGGACCAGAGCCAAGGTTCCCCGGCACCCCTGGCATCAGCGCTGTGGCAGGGAGCCATTTCCCTCTGGGCTCACTGGAACTTATCCAAGAGGACGCTGGAGAGGAAATCACAGGAAAATGGTCTGTCCTGGCCTCACCCCAGATCCTGTTCCACGGCCAGGCAGGGCTTGTCACAGGAGCCTGAGAGAAGGGGTGAGGGCAGCACACTTTCTCCTTTTGAAGAAGTTACTTTGAAGCCAAAGGTTGTATTTGTGTCTATTTGTCACGTAAACATGAAACACGCACACACACACACACACAGAGTGGAAGAGCTAACCCAAGCTAGATAACGTGTGCATTACCTCACAGACGTTATTGTGTGCTGGGAGCATCTGACACAGTTTTAAGCAATTTCAGCTGCCCATGCAGTGAGCGTTATTAACTAAGTCGCCATGACGCACACTACACCTCTAGACCTCTTCTCCCACGTGATTCTGTAGCTCTGCTCTCTGACCTGCGGATCCCACGCCCTCCCCTGGTGACCACCATGCTGCTCCCCGAGTCCCTCACAGCCCACACCTGAGTGACTTCCCGCGTGGGTTCTCCTCTGTGCCTGGCTTGTCTCACTCCCACAGTGTCCGCAGTGCCTCGGTCTGCTGCAAACGTCCGGATTTCACTCGTTCCATGGCCGAGTCTTATTCCACTGTGAGACGCCTTGCTTCGGGCCCCATTCGCCTCGGTTGATGATGACAGCGATGTGAGCTGTGCCGCAGGAACGCGGGCGGGCAGGTGTCTAAGGGTCTCCTCCCCGTTAGCTCCTCCCCTGTGCCCGAACCTGCGCTAGGAGAAGGAGCGGGGGGGTCGGGCCCGGAGGGGTGGTGCAGCCCAGGATCCCCTCTCTGTCCCACACTGTTGTGGACAGGTGAGCCAAGGAGCCGCCCACGCGCTCAGGGAGTTGGCACCGTCGAGAAGTAAACCAGGAAGCGGGCGTGGTACTAAGGGTTCCAGGGGCCAGGTGGGACTGAAAGAGGAGGTGCTGTGTAAAGAGAATGTTCATGGACCGGAAATGCCAGACACGCTCTTCCGGAAACCCGGGATCCTCGGGCGTGCATATAAAGACCCCAGTCCCCTCTTCCGGATAGCTACAGTATCAGACGCGCTCTTCCGGAGACCCCCACACACTATCTTTAGGAACCACAAAAGTTCTCTTCTGGAAACCCGGGAATCTCGGGTGCTTTCTGGAGACCCCACACACCAACTTCATGAAATTAAGAGACCCTGCACTTCTCTTCCGGAAACCCCAGACGTGCTCCTCCGGAAAGCAGGGGGCCTAGACGCCCCCTCCAGATACAGCAGGTTGGGCCGCCCTGGGGGTAGAGCTAGAGTGAAGGCTGGGCCGGAGCAGGTGTGTTGCGCTCCACTTCTCAGGTGTGGGTTGACGTAGACTTCCTTCCACGCAGAAAGTGCCAGGGAGGAAGGGTGATGCTCCCTTGGGAACCAGGTGCCCCAGATCCACAGCAGCAGCCAGGCTCCTGGATCCTCTGGGTCCCTGCTGGGCTGTGCTTGGGGCAGCTCTTTTCTGGCATCTTCTGCATAGTGACCCATCACCCAGTCCTGTCACACAGCTTCCCAGGGCAGGGCAGTCCTTGAGGTCTTGCACATGTTCTTGAAAATTGTCATCAAGGTCAACGCCTACAAGGGCATTGAAGGGCCTAAAGAGAGAGAGAGAACCAGAGGAAGTGTGAGATCCTGGAGAAGATAAAGGATTAGGTTCCAACACAGGAAATCTAAATAAACCATGGACTAGTTGAGCTAAGGGTGCTGGGAAGAAATGCTCCATATTAACCTACAATACTTACGGGGAGCTGAGTGAAGGGTCTATAGCACACATTTGTTCCCTAAAATCATTCTTGAAGCCTATTAAAAATCAGGTAAAATTCCCACATGAGGGCTGAAGACCCGGCTGTCTCCTCACCCAGCACCACCAACTCTAGGGCAATACTGGGGGCTGCCCAGGTGACGCTCCCTCTGTGGATACTGGAAACACCCTGGGGTGTTGTATCCGTGGGAGTCCTCCCTCTGTCGGCACTGGTAACACCCTGCAATGTTGTATCCATGGGAATCCTACCTCTGTTGGCACTGATAACACCATGTATTGTTGTAATTGTGTGAGTCCTCCCTATGTCACACTGGGAACACCCTGCAGTGTTGTATTCATGGGAATCCATCTGTCGGTACTGGGAACACCCTGCATGGTTGTATCCATGGGAGTCCATTCTATGTCCCATGGTAACACCCTGCAGTGTTGTATCCGTGGGAGTCCTGATGAATCAGCCTCCTTCTGCAACCCCAGTTCCTTCTCCACCACCTTGTGTGTGGCTTCCCAGGATCTCCAGTTGGGACAAGGAAGATACAGAGGTTTCCTGGCACGGGATCTTCACAAACACACTCGAGGGAATCACAGAACCTAGTGTGGCAGATATGATAAGACTGGCAATATCCCTCGGAAAAAATGCAGCCTAGACTTTGATGGACTGTCAGAGAGAAACCATTTTTCCCTGTTCTTGGGGTGGGGGGCAGAAATAAAATAAGATGAGAGGCCTATCATTATTCTCTCTTAAAATACTTATAATTTTGTTTGAAAGGGGAAGAGAGAGAGGGAGATCTTTTGTTTACTGGTTTAACCGCCAAATGCTGGCAATAGCCTGGGCTGTGTTAGGCTGTCAGGAGCCTGGAGCTGCAGCCAGATCTCCCTCCTGGGGGCAGGAACCAAGCACTGAGCTACTGCCTGTCTCCTAGGTGTGCAGTAATGGAAGCCACCTCAGAGGCAGATCTGGACCTAACCCAGGCACTCTGCTGTGGGATTCAGGCATCCAATCAGGGACTTAACCACTGTACATAACTCCACACTATAATTCTGTTCTAAAAAAGTGCTAATGAAATCCAGTCATTTGTGGAGATATGGGTATCACTGGAGAACCTTTAGTGAAATACACCTTCCCAGGAATCCAGTGTAAGTTCTCTCTTCTACACAGAAGTTGGAAAAGTTGGTCTCATAGTAGCAGAGTAGGATGGTGACCACTAGTGCTGAAAAGGGTCTGGGGGAGAGATGAGGGAGGTTTGGTCCCCGGGTCCCAAGGTGGAGTCAGATAGAGGAACGGCTCTGTCTGCACAGCACAGGAGGCACCCATGGCTCACATAACCTGTTGAGTGTTTCTACAAAGAGCTCGAGGAGAGGAGCTGGGGCCCAAACACAAGACATGACGAGATGGGAACGCCCTGGTGAGATCAGCACACCTTCAAATCCCACGCTGCACCTCCCAAATTATTACGTGTTCATTTAAAGGGAAAAATAGGTGGCAAATATGTTTCTGGTGTTTGTGTCTTCCTCCTTTGTCGAGCTGAAAGTCACAGAGCACAGATTACAGACCTGACAGAAATTTAACTCACGGCTGTAGCTGCCTCTCACATTCACTGTGTCGTGTACCCACCAGCACCTGTCACAAACATCTTCATTAGCAGAGACAGAAACCCCAGACCCACTAGCAGGCATCTGCACTCTCCCTCCCCACACCCGAGTCCACGTTCTGCCCTCTGAATCTGCACCCCCGGGCACCTCTCAGAGCAGAATCAGACCATGGTGTCTTTGTGATACCGGCTGATTTCTGTATTGTCATATCTTCAGGGTTTCTCCATGATTATCCAGACCCTCCTTCTTTTCTAACAGGAGAGTATCAGCCGTGTCTACAAACACCGCCTGTTGTGGACGCACTCACCTGTTGGGCTTATTCTGGTTGCTGGCATCTTTGGGCTCATGTGAATGAGGCTGCTCTGAACCCGTGGATGCAAACACCTGCTTGGGTTCCTGCTTCAATCCCTGTGGTTATATGTGCAGGAGAGGAACTGTTGGATTGGATGGTAATTTCGAGGAAGCAGGTTTCCTTCTTTATTGAGCTCAAATTCACATGACATAAAACCAGCTCTTTAAAGTGTATAGTTTGCTGACTTGTAGTACATTCCCAATGTTGTACACCATTAACTTTTTAAAAACATATATTTTATTTATTTGAAAGTTACAAAGCTAGATACAGTCTGAGAGAGAGAGAGAAAGTTCACTCCCCAGATGGATGGACCTCGCCCACCCTGAAATCTGATTTTGCTCGTTTATTCTGTTACATGGAGCAAACTCCTGGTTCTTTGCTGAAATTCGGATTCTCACGCATGCGCACTGGGAAGTGCATTCACCAGAATGTACAGAGCTAATGTCTCCATGAAGAAAGAGCAAAGCAGGAGGCGCACATGGTGCGGATCCACATTTGGTCTGCAGGGGGCGCTCTCCCACCTCAGGGCAGAGAAGTCCACAGCTGGATAGAGGAAGAGCCCCTGCTGCCCCCAGACAGCTCCCGTAACCAAACCCCGGAAGACGGTTCCCCACTGTGCTCATGCTCCCCACCCAACCCGCATCCAGGGCTCGGTCTCTGTGACCCAGCGCTGTCCTCTCTCCAGGTCACTGCCGGCCTGCAGTCCGGGTCCTCTTGTGGCTGTACCAAGCCTCCGCCAGCAGAAGCCCGAGGCCCAGCAGGACCAAGCCCGCCACGCCCATGCGGATGAGGTTCTCCAGGGTGTGGTCCTGGGGCGCTGGGGCTGGGGCTGGGCATGGAGGGGTCACCTAGGCTGGCCAGACCCAGTAACACAGGAGTCCACCTCCCCGCAGCAGCCTGAGCCCTGAGTCCAGCCTGTAGCTCACTCACCAGCGGGGGAGCCTGACTGGGGGTGCAAGGGGCTGCTGGGCTCCGGTCCTCCTGAGAACAGGGACGGGACGGTGAGGAGGAGGAGACCCCGCCCTCCCCATGCACTCAGCACTGAGGACCCGGGCCCACGGCTGGCGGGGGCCATCAGGGGCTCCTGAGTGTCAGAGACACAGAGGGGCAACGTCCAGGGCAGCCTCCCCTCCCCCACACCTCAGCCTGTGCACCTGCTGCTCCACCCTCTTTATCTGTGGTCAACTAAGTCTTCATTATCTTGACACAGCCACCATGGGACACACACACACACACACACACACACACACACACACGTGTTTACTAAGCGGTGGTGCTCCACTGTGTTCCACAATCAGTATTCCTGAGTGAGAAGACCTGGAACAACCAGGTCACAGTGTAGACCTCGGTGACTATCGGTAGTTACAAGCTCAGGGACACAACTCACAGTGAACATGGACACAGACAGCACACATCACAGTGGGCACTGTGCAGGGACGCAGCTACAGACGTGCGCATACTGAAACAGGCCAGGCTGCCCAGGGATCGGGAAGCCAGGAAGTGAGATTTCCCTTCCCTCTGGGCTGATGGGAACTTTGTCAGGAAATCAGAGCCCAACCAGGGTCGGGGGAAGGAGTCCCCACAGGAACAAACGCTCCACTGCTGCTCCTCCACTGAGCTGCTCTTCAGGAGAATAAGGGGCCCAGACCTCCCTGAGGGTTGTCACAGGGGGCGGGGCTTGGGAGCCATTGCACCTGCAGGTCCCCACCCCTCCCCCGACTGAGGGCACAGAACTTGTGCAGGACTGGGCCTGGCTCTGCCAGTTCTGACCTGAGGCGCAGGGCAGGGAGGGCGCCCCTGCTTCCAGGTGCCCTTGTGAGTGGGAAACAGCACCGTGCACTGAGCACTGCTGTGCCCCAGGCACACGCTGGGTCTCTGCATTCACCCCCTGAGCCGCCGCCACCTCACAGCCCACACGGCCACCCCTCCCCTCTCCCCAGGGACCTGGACCCGAAGGAGTCCCCACCCAGGCCTTCCCCATTCCTCAGTGAGCCCACAGCCTGGGGCAGCAGGCGGCCAGCTCCACACCTGGTTTGGAGCCCACAAACTGCAGCTCCTAAGGCCCGCACTCCCAAAAGACCAGGGAGCTGCTGGCAGGAGGAGCTCCCCAGTGTGTGCACCCTCCCCAGGTGCTCCAGGCTGCTCCTCCTTGGGTGGGTGGAGAAGCAGGTGCAGAGAGAGGCCTCCGCACCTCAAGGTCAGGCACAGCGGAGCCCCTCCTCCTAGGACAGCCCCCCACTCTCCGCTCAGTGGGGCGGGCTCCATGGTTGTGAGCGGCTGACCCTCAGGGCCTCCTGGGGTGGGGACAGGCGGTGAGGACTGGGGCTGCCATGCTCCCCACTCAGCCCGCTGCCTCCTCTCCCAGGCTGGGCCCAGCACCCCCTCTGCCTCAGCCTGACCATTCAGGCTCAGGGGGAGGACCCCTACCAGCAGAACCATCCAGCCCCCAGCGCCACAGAGGGTGACTTGGTCCCTGTGTTTGGAGTCTTCTGCTGTTACCCACTCCCTGGTGACCACCCCCAGGTCCCTCCCCCAGGCCAGCCCTCTCCTGGGGACAGCCCTGCACTGACCAGGATGACCGGGAGGGCTGGGGTCCTCACCTGACACCTCGACCTTCAGGGGGTCACTGGGCCATGACCACAGGTAGGGGTCAGTGTTGTGGGCACTATAGCACCTGTAGGTCCCTCTGTGGGCTGAGGTCACAGGACCCAGCATGAACGTGGCCTGAGCAGCTATTTCCTGGCCTGGGACACGCAGATGCTGGGGAGGGGTGCCCGAGCCCTCCCTGTGCAGGAGAAAGGTGTCCATCACCTCCTGGGAGCCACAGCGCAGGGCCTACCATTGCTCCCCTGGGCACTGAGGGCCCCGGCTGGGCCTGCAGGGAGGGTTTCCTGTACATTCCTGGGAGAGAGGATGGCGTGTGGAGGGAGCAGCCCCTCCCTCCCCTCAGGGCAGCATGGGTATCCTGGGGTCCGTGTCCCAGGGATAGGACGTGGTGGGCAGGGGCTCCCCACCTGCAACCAGCACGTCCGGGGGCGCTGGGGGCCGACCAGGCGTAAGGGCCCTGGCGTCGACCGTAGCACCTGTACCGGCCCCCAAGGGAGCCGCTCACGGGGACCAGGAGGAAGTCGGGGCTGGGCTGCCCGGCAAGGTGCTGGGGGGACGTGTCCCCCTCGGGCCTGGTCAGTGCGTATCTGTCACAGCTGGGCTCACAGTGACACCGCAGGGTCAGGCTCTGTCCCGGGAGCAGCAGTGAGGCTGGCAGGGCCGAGAGGGAGGGCTCCCTGTGCAGCCCTGAGAGGGGGATGGGGCGAGGAGGGCAGGCTCAGCCATGAGCCCACAGCCGGCAGGGGTCTGCAGCTGTTCACTGCCCCCACAGGGTCAGAGTTCCCAAATCCCCGAACCACCCAGGCTCCCTGGGCACTGGGCCCTTCACCTGTGACCTGGAGCTCCAGGGAATCACTGGGCAGGGACCACACGTGGGGGTAGTTGGTGTGAGCGCAGTAGCACCTGTAGATGCCCCCGTGGGTGCTGTCCACGGGGCCCAGGAGGAAGGTGGCCTGCCACACTCCAGCCCCACGGGAGAACCTGGCTTCCGGGCTGTGCAGGGGGCCGGCTCCGCCCTCCTTCAGCAGATGGGCAGTGCCCACCCTATGTGAGCCACAGGAGAGGGACACGTTCCCTCCTGACGCCACCACGGGGCTTGGCTGGGCTGACAGGGAGGGTGCCGGGAACATCCCTGCAGGAGAGAGCAGAGCCATTTAGGGTGGGTGGCTGCTGTCCCATGCACCCACTTGGCTTCCTTCTGTGACCTGGAGCCACTCTAGGCAGGGGACACCCCTTACCTGTCACCACCAGAGTCAGGGGGTCACTGGGCTGGGAGGGGCCGAGCGAGGGTCAGATACACACACCAGTACTGCCCTGAGTCATAGGAGCTCATGGACTTGATCATGGAGAAGCTCGTCTTGTGTCTGGAGTCCTGCTGGGCCTGCACTACCCAGGGCTGAGGGCTGCCCTCTTTATACACACGATACACCTCAGCCTGCAGAGACCCCTGGCACCAGAGGGTCACAGGGCTCCCCACGGCGACCAGGGGGCCTGGGTCGGCCCAGATGGAGGGCTTGGGGAGGGTCCCTGGAAGGGAATCAGAGCTGCAGACCCCAGGGTGCCGCCCCTCCCCCGCCCCATTCCCCAGCTCCACTCCCAGCCCCTCCCAGCCATCACCATCAGCCCAGCCACCCTGGGCTCCTTAACCCTGAGCTGCCTGGGCCCCGGGGCTGAGCCAGGTCAGGGGAGGACTCACCCGCCTGTGCCTTATCCCCTGGTGCCCAGCACAGCCCTGGAAGAGAGGTCCCTGTGAGAGCTGCTCCCCACTCCTCACCCCTGCAGAGACCCCCAGGCCTGCCCTGGTCCTCTGAGCCCTGGGGTCCCAGCTGGGGCAGGGCACTCTCCCCTCCACACCTGTGAGGGGTCCCATTCTCCCCGTGTCCCCGGCTCACCCAGGCAGAGGAGGGCAGTGAGGGCTGGGGTCTGAGCCCCGCCACCCATGGTCCCTGTGGAGCAGAGCAGCTGTGAGGGCCACAGGCCCAGAGTCCGGCTGGAGATGAGCGGGGAGACGTCACGGGTTCCTCATCTGCGGCCTCACAGGAAGGGAGCAGCCCCTCCCTGACCTCCCCCGCTGTCCCTGAGGACGGGCCCAGGACACAGCCGGCTCTGGGGACAGCTAGGGCCAGGCCTCCGCCTCCGCTGCCCCCTGTGCTGTGCCTGCCCGGCCTCCCTCCCCCACTCCAGCCCCACCCAGGGTGGCCCCTCATGGGCGGTGCCCAGGAGCTGCCCGGTTAGGGTTCTGGTTCTCCCTGCACAGGCCGGGTGGCCTGAGGCAGGGACTTCCCCTTCCTGAGCTGTTGAGTGCACATATGGGTGCTAGGGTGGTGGGGGGGATGGGAGGAGGCTGGATCCTGTGGGGAGGTGATGGAATCTTCCAGGCCTCTCGATGCTAATGGGAGTGAATGAAGAAGGCAGACGCTGCAGAGCTGTGGCTGAGCTGCAGCCCCGCTGTGGCTGTGTCAGGTGCAGGAGGAACCACAAGGGGGACAGGGGCCTTGGGGTGGGGTCCTGCTGGGGGCCGGCCAGCCCGGGGCCCAGTGAGGGGCTTCAGGAGGGTGGCCACTGGGGCAGAGAACCCGAGCTCCCCCAGCAACAGAGATTATGGGGGTGTCCTGGCCCAGGCCAGCCAGGGTCCCTAGCCACACACCCTGTGCCAGGTTTCTCATTTGGAGAGGGAGACTGGGCTCGTGTGGAACCACACTCCACGTGGGGCTGGGGTCCCTTGCCCCTGTGTCCTGAGCCCCCCGTGGCCTCTCCTCCCCTGATCTGAGCACCTGGGCTCTGTGCTCCTGGATGACATGGGGGTGCCGCTTCCTGAGCGACCTGAACAGGTGATGTCGCCCCCAGCATCTCTGTGGTGGGGGGATGCCCAAGACCTCCCCTGTCTGGGTGGCCGTGGCCGCAGCACTCCGGTCTCAGGATCCTGCAGTGTCCCTTCCAGATTCAGACGTGGGGACAGCACCGTTCTGGTAGGCACCCCTCCTCAGAAGTCCTAGGAGCGCCCGCCGTCCCCAGAGGTGAATCAGAAGTGGTCCCCCGTTCCAGACAGAATGGAAGACCCTATCCTCAGCCGTGTTTGGGGGTGGAGGGCAGAGGGCAGGCTCTCAGATGCCTGCTCTGGGGTGGGGGCCTCATGAGAGTCGCATGGTGGCTCGTCACAGCCTCGGGTGCAAAGGCACTGACAGGCATCTGTCCTTTCCTTAGCCCTGCAGTCATGGTTAGAGAGGAAGTCCCCCTCCCAGAAACAGGAGCTGGCAAAGCGTGCATGCAGTGCGGTTCACGGTAAAGTCCCAGAAATGCTAGGACCACCTCCGGCCTCACCCCAGGAGGAAGCTCCACACCATGCAGAGGCCAGCCCCGCCAGCCCCGCCCAGCCCCAGGGCTCTGTGGGCTCCCAGCCCTGGGTGTTTCTGGGAACAGTGCTATGTGGGGCCTTTGTGTGTGGCTGCACCCCCTGCCACATGCATCCTCACTCTATGGCTTCCTGGGGCTCAGCAGAGTTCCCACAGAGCCAGGGACCCACCTCCCCGAGCCCCCATCCCCGGTGCACATCTGGCTCCTGTACCCGCCCTGCCGTGTTTGGACTGTGTGCACAGTCCCTGGATGGATTGTCAGAGCTTCCCCCTGGCCCTCGGTGGTAACGCTCCATGGAGCCTGCACTCAGCACACTGGCGAGCGCTGCGCCTGACCCTGACCCTTGCCAGCATGTGGGGTCTATGGGAGCGCCTGACTCTGTGCAGGGCGTGGGCTGTTCTGTGCTGTGCCGAGGCTGGGTCTGGCTGCTTTGAGGAACTACGATCCTCTGCCACAGTGGCGGAACCATTACACATTCCAGCCTCATGTCAGGGCTGTGATTTCCCCACACCCAGACCACACTCTGCCTGCTTTGTCTTCGAGAAGTGACCAGTGTGGTGGGCGTGGGGGGGTGCCTCTCTGTGGCATTATTTTCACTTCCCTTCCCTTGTGCTGTGTGTGTTGCACCTTGCTTTTTTGTTGCAGCTTCCAGATCTTTACACCATGTGTGTGGGGAGCAGGGCCTGTCTCCCGTATCATTGCAGGGCCTGTCACCCGGGAGACAAATAAGTACTGAGACTATGGACAAATAAGTACTGAAACTACTGAGACAACTCTATGCACCTGATCTCCCACAATATGGTGCTGAGAGGGAGTGGACAACTTCCACACAGCTGCCTCACCAATTCGACTAACAAGCTGCAGGAGCTGATCCTGCCCCTGATTGGAGGAGAGCAGCGTGTTCAGCACGTGCGGAGAGAACGCCAGCAGAGTTGGGATTGGTGGAAGAGGACTATAAAGGAGGAGAGAGACAACATGCAGGAGGAACATCTGAGGAACCCCTGAGAGAGCCGGCCGGCGGTGTGCCGCTCCTCTGCGGAAGCGGGGGAAGCAGCGGGGGTGCCACCCCTCCGTGGAGGCTGGGTGGGGGGGAGCAGCAGCAAACCCGGGAAGGGCCGGGCAAAGAGAACAGCGCAGACTCCGGAGTCGTTCCTCCGTGAGTGGGGGAGCGACACATGTGTTCGTTGTCTTTCTGTTCCTTGAGAGCTGTCCATGGTGCACAGAGTTCTGAAGTTTTGGGGATGATCAATTCAGCCACTTTCTTGTTTGTTCCTTGTACTTTTGCCAACAGCTAAGATGCTGTGATGAAGTCTGAGGTCACATTTACCCAGGTATTTCCTTCTAGGAATGTTTAAAAAAACTTTTCAGAGACTGATTTATTTGAGAGGGAGAGACATAGAGAGGAGAGACAGCGACAGATTTCCCACCTGCTGGCTCACTCTCAGGATGAAGCCAGAAGCCGGGAGCTTCTTCTGGGTCTCCCACGTGGGTGCAGGGACCCAAGCATTTGGGTCATATTCTACTGCTTTCCCAGGCACATTAGCAGGGAGCTGGATCTGAAGTGGAGCAGCCGAGATTCAAACTGGAGGCCATAGAGATGCCGGTGCTGCAGGTGTTGGCTTTACTCCCTAAGCTATGCTGTGGTGGGGTGGAGTCCCCAGCCCCTTAACTGGAAACTCGGGAGAAGCATCCAGACACACACTTAACCCCGCCTCACTGAACTGTGTGGGAAATGCAGACTTGCAGAGTAATCAGCCATCAGAGGAAGCCGGCAGGCGTCCACACTCTTCCAGAACACCGGGTGCTGCCGTCCACCAGAGCCAACCGTGTTGTGGGGTTTATGTTAGGCGAGCACTGAGAAATCCAGATGACCTTGAACTTTCTGTGCCTGAAGAAACCCTGCACACACTTTCAGTCTTTCACTTCTGTGTGGTCCTCTGGGAAGGCGGAGTCCCACGTTCATCTCGGATTTTACCTTACAGTTTGATGAGCCACAAGTTTTTTAAAATATTTATTTGAAAGTCAGAGTTACAGAGAGAAGGATTGAGAGAGGTATCCATCTGCTGGTTCAGTCCCAATGGGCCCTCACAGCCAGAGCTTGGCTGATCCCCAGCCAGGAGCCAGGTGCTTCTTCTGAGTCCCCCAGATGGATGCAGGGGCCTAAGCACTTGGGCCATCTTCTGTTGCTTTCCAAGGCCATAGCATACAACTGGATCGGAAGTGGAGCAGCCAGACTGGTACCCAGAGGGGATGCCGGCACCTCAATCGGCAGCTTTTATGCATAACGCCACAGTGCTGGCCCGGATCCATTAACTGTGACCTCCCGCATCATAGCCCACGTGTCATCGCTTCCTCTTGTGAGTGCAATTTTGAATCCATCTTGAGTGACTGGTGTCCCGCCCATGTCCTGGCACAATTGCTAAAGGTCAAGGGGAGTGAATCCTGGCGTCACCACCCTCTAGATGGGCTCCTGTGGACACTCAAGGCCACTGAGCTGTGTGTGGTCCCTGGAGAGGAACAGCACAGAACCGCACGGGAGCCTGCAGGGCAGTGGGCAGGGCTGCGGGAGGCCGGGACCCCTTCCCAGAATGCTTGTGGGAGCCCAGGAAAGCAGCACAGACAACGGCCCACCCGGGTCCTTGCCCATGAGCAGGATTCCTGCAACCCCAGGTGAGCTCCGCCCGCTTCCCGGGGCTTCTCACCTTGCATGCCCAGCCTCCCCCCTCCCCCGGGGCACAGACTCTCTGACCCAGCGCTGTCCTCTCTCCAGGTCATCGCTGGCCTGCGGCTCGGGTCCTTCTCTGGCTGTACCAAGCCTCCGCCAGCAGAAGCCCGAGGCCCAGCAGGACCAAGCCCGCCACGCCCATGTGGATGAGGTTCTCCAGGGTGTGGTCCTGGGTGCTGGGGCTGGGGCGTGCATGGAGGGGTGTCCGAGGCCGGCCAGCCTCAGTCACCCGGGACCCCACCTCCCCGCAGCTGCCTGAGCCCTGGGTCAGGCCTTTAGCTCACTCACCAGTGGGGGAGCCTGGCTGGGGGTGCGAGGGGATGCTGGGCTCCGGTCCTCCTGAGAACAGGGACAGGACGTGAGGATGAAGAGACCCCAGCCCTGCCCCGGACTCTGTACTTCCAGGCCCCCATGTCTCACGACGCAGCTCAGCGTGGCCCTCTGATGAGCCGCCTCCACATCACCCTGTCGGGCTGCCCTGTGCTGCTGGGTCACCAGGGGAGCCCCATAGGGGCCAGGCCACGCAGCACCCACAGCCTGGCGAGCTTCTCCCCACAGCAGCCGGTCCAGGGCCCATACTGCACCATGGCCTGTGCCCGCTGCGCCCGAGCAGTCTCTGACCTGGTCTAGAGACCCACTGAGCCTCAGGGGTGTGAGTGAGGCCCGTCCTGGGTGGGGCCTAGCCAGTGCTGCATCTACTGCGGCCTCTGTGGGAGCCTGGCCCGGGGCTGCCGGGCAGGGTGCTGGGCAGACCCCGAGTCCCTGTGTGACCCCGTCAGACCCTCTGCAGGGACCACCAAGGGCCCTGCTGGGTCAGGAGGGAAGAGGGGCGGGGCTGCACACTGGCTCCGCCCACACCCTTCTCCCTCCTGCCCTGCAGTCCCACCACCCTCACTCTGGGTGTCTGGCCCAGGAGCCCAGGCCCCGCACCCAATTCCCATCTACCCTCCTCTCAGCGTCCCCGTGACCTACCCAGCTCCTGCTCAGGT